CGTCTCGATAAGACGATTCTAATGGACCCAAAATCGTCAAAATCCAATCTCAGGATCCTGAGGTCGATAGAGATTTGTGTCACTTCAGGTGTTTTAGAATTGGTTAAACCAATCCTAAAACACCTGAAGTAAAACAAATCATTAACGATATCAGAATTCTGAGATTGGATTTTGACGATTTTGGGTTTATTAGAATCGTCTCATTGAGACGAACATTTTGGTAATTGTTTCATCAAAAATGGACCAGTGGATCAAAAGTTATTCATAGTTAATTATTATTAGAATTTTTAATAGTAATTCCAAAAATCTGCTGATATGGTACAAGCATTTAGTTGGTTTGTTGTGATGATATTTAAAATTATTAAATAATTGCATATTATTCATAAATTCATATAGCTATATAAGTTAAAAAATTTTTGCAATATTAGAATAAACTTTTTCTCATGTATATAGTTTTGATTTTAATTTAGCTTAAAATCTAGTTTTGATAGTAGCTATTATATTAAGTTTTTTTTTGTGCATATATATCAACTTCACATATATACTCTAATTAGACAAAGAAAATAATAAAACTACTGATGAATATGATGTAGATTAAAAAAATTCTGCAAAATAACAATATGATAACCAGACTTTAAAGCAAGCCAAAAAGTGTAAAAAGCAATATAGGAATTCATATGCTTAAACTTCTACACTAAGAAGCTCCACTTTAACAAATCTAATTTTTTCTAAAAGCAATACTACTACAAATCCTATCTCAAATCATTTCTAGCCAATTATCAGTATACCTGTTAATATTGACTATGCAAATAGTGTTCTAAAAGCACAAGTGTATCTATTTGAATCAAGTAGAGTACAATGACATGTGTTTGAAAAAATAAATTGTATATGTTTAAGTTGTGATATATTAAAATAGATTAAAAAATAATGTTCAAATACTTCTAAACATTTACCAAAATTTAGTAGCTGTTGTGCAAAGGAAAAGTTATTTTACCACTTTTGAGAGCACTGCCAACAATATTAATGAATTATTTATTAGATGATAATATACATGCACAAGAGTTTCTGTGTAATATATATACTTATAACTCTGTTTTGGCTTTTATATCAATGGGAGTGAAAATTAATGAAAATATTATTAAGACTAAAGATATTTATACATTTTCTATTTATAGTGATATATATTATAAAATCGATTTATAGCATCCACAATTGTCATCAAAACTACTAATATTCGCACAACTTTATATTTATGATACAGAACATGAAATATAAAATAGATATAAAATTATATCTACTTTAGATAAAATAACTCTCAATGAGCTTCAAAATATGCTCCACAATATTAATTTTTATGTTTATGTTTTTCGTCAAACTCTTAGCAAAGTTTAATACAGAATTTAGTAATAATAATTAAAAATTCTAGAATGACCAATTTATAGCATTATAATATTCTAACTATTTCAGAAGTTGCAGCAATTACTGTAGACGATAATATCAATAATACAAATATTTGTGTTCAGGATATTGTGCTTCACCTATTTACTAGAGGTTACAATGAATTTCAGAGCTTCATAGAGCATATATTCTACTATATTATATGTTTCTGTTTCTTTGAGATGAGGATAGATAGCATTCTAAAATTCTAGTTCGTAATAAAATATTTATTTAGGGGTTATTTATAATTTACATAAAGAAATGTATATAGTAAAGATTAGCAAAAATTTAAAAAATAACAAAATCAATAATATCTTGTAACCTAGTGATCCAATTTTAACAATTTTGATATCATTCAAACTGTTTTATCAAGACGAATCGAATAGTATTAAAATCGCTAAATTTGAATTACTATATCATAAAATAATTATATTTAACTAAAATTGTAAAATATCTAATTATCTCAGTAACTAATAATCCAAATTTAACAATTTTGGTATCATTCGATTCATTTTGATAAGATGATTCTAATAGTATCAAAAATGTTAAATTTTGATCACTGAATCATAAGATAATTACAAAAAACTATCTATAGTGCAATTTTTTTAAATTTTTGTATTTTAGTATATTGTAAATAGTTTTTTTTACAAATATTTTGTAATTCAGTGATCTGATTTTAATATTTTTAACACCATTCGAATTGTCTTATTGAGACAAATCGAATAATATCAAAATCGTTAGATTTGGATCATTGATTACTGAGATAATTAGATTTAATTAAAATTTTAAAATATCTAATTATCTCAGTAAACAATAATCCAAATTTAATGATTTTGGTATTATTCAATTCATCTCAATGAGATGGTTCGAATGGTAGTAAAAATGTTAAAATCAGATCACTGGATTATGAGTAAATTACAAAAAACTATCTATAGTATAGTTTTTTTAAATTTTTGTATTTTAGTACATTGTAAATAGTTTTTACAAATATTTTGTGATCCAGTAATCTGATTTTAATATTTTTGCTATTATTTGAATTGTCTCATCAAGACAAATTGAATAATACCAAAATTGTTAAATTTGAATTATTGGTTACTGAGATAATTAGATACAGTATTTTAAAATTTAATTAAATATAATTATCTTAATAACCAATAATCTAAATCTAATAATTTTAATATCATTCGATTCATCTTAATGAGACAATTTGAATAGTATTAAAAATATTAAAATTAGATCACTGGATTACAAGATATTTGTAAAAAATTATTTACAACATACTAAAATATAAAAATTTAAAAAAACTATACTATAGATAGTTTTTTGTGATTATCTTATGATTTAGTAATCAAAATTTAACATTTTTGATATTATTAGAATCGTTTATCGAGACAAATCAAATAATACCAAAATCATTAAATTTGGATTATTGGTTACTGAAATAATTAAATATTTTATAATTTTAGTTAAATATAATTATCTCGTGATATAGTGATTCAAATTTAGTGATTTTGATATTATTCGATTTGTCTCAATGAGACAGTTTGAATGATATTATAACTATTAAAATTGTATCACTAAGTCACAAAATATTATTGATTTTGTTATTTTTTAAATTTTTACAGATCTTTACTATATACATTTCTTTATATAAATTATGGATAACCCTTACTTGCAATCAAATAATAATCTTGTTTCTGAGTTTGATGAATAGCCAAATATAGATAATAAGGATAATGATGATTCTAGAGTGCAAAAGTATATCACTATACTATAGTATTATTTCTACTAGCTTCAAATATAATCTAATGAAAGCAAGAGTATTTATTTATCTAAACATCTCTTTTAACAATTCATAGTAAGTACTTATACTAATGTAGAGTAAAGTTAACTTGATTTTTTAAGATTTAATCAAAAAAAACCAGGGCTGAGCTCTATAATAGGTTTCAAAATACTATGACCATGTGTAATGAGTTGTTACTAGAATTATTTGTATCAAACATTATAAATATTAGTAAACGAATTGTGTTTTCTTCAAGTTTCACTAGTGAGCCCTGTCAAATGCAGCAGCTATATCAGAATGCAATAACAATAGTATGTGTAATGGAAAAACCTAATCTTTTTATTATATTCATGTATAACCCAGCATGGCCAAAAATTACTGCTAAGCTTCTTTATAATCAACATGCTTCTGATCATCCTGATCTTATTGCAAGAGTATTCAATATGAAACTACAAGTTTTAATAAATAACATTATTAAGAATCATATTTTTAGAACAGTTGTTGCTTATATTCATGTTGTTGAATTCCAGAAGCATAGTCTTCCTCATATATATATCCTTATTATTCTTATACCGGATGACAAACCTAAAATTGTTGATGATTATGACAATATTATGTCTGCTAAAATTTCTGATAAAGATATTCATTCAAATACTTATAATACTGTAAGCCAAATGATGATGCATAGTTCTTGCAGCTTAGCATATCCAAAAGCCCCATATATAAAGGATGGAATATGCTCTAAGAATTATTCACGTAAATTTTGTTTTACTACTAGCAAAAATAAAAATAGATATCTTGTATACAAGTATCCTAATAATAGAAAATTTGTGAAAGTTAAAGTATTAAACTTGACAACACATGGGTTATACCTCATAAATTATTTTTATTTTTTTTTGAATATTAATGGTGAGACTATGTCTCTGACTTTATTAAAATTTAATTTAATTCTTTTACAATGAAAAG